ACAAATACCTCTTTATTTGGTTAATGGGTGCTCGAGCACCAGCGGACTCCATGTGGGTCCGCCCCTGTATGTTAAGGGGTTGACGATGTATTCAGCCGATTTCATTTACCTTTTGAATTACTTGTAGTCCTTTTTAGGCTATTGTGCATTTTGCATTTCTGACTATGTTGTTCTGTTTTTGTGAAATTGATATACTAGATGGATTTTCACAAAAATGTGTTTGGAATGTTGGCTGCACATCCCATTAGGCCATTGGTATCAATGCATCATATAGAGGAAATTGATCCTATATTCCCAAATATGACAACAGTGAAGGCTCTGGAGCATTTGTACAATGCTGCAAGCTTCGATCCACATCGAATTTTGCAGCAAACAGTTTGCTATGATACTTGGTTTTCTTGGACAGTGTCATTATCCTGGGGATATGCTGTTCAAGTATTTGATAAGCATGTGCTTTTACCAAATGTTCAGCGCGTACAAGAGAGCTACGCTCCCTGGAAAAGCAGTCATTTAGGTGGATTATACGACTTTGATACAAGGAAATATGAACCTGATCCATGCCAAAGACAGCCTGTTTATTTCTTGGACAAAGTTTCTTCTAGCATCAACGGAACTGAGAGTATTTACAAGAAGAAAACATTTGAGAAATGCAAATTCGACATGAGTTCACCTAGAAGACTAGAAAAAATCAGAGTGTTGTCAAACAAGTTAGTCCTTGATAAACAACAGGTATCTTGAAACTTTTTGCTCTCTAAATTCTGTTCATTATTTAGTATCTAATTTTTTTTTGGATGTTTTGTATGTAGTTGCTTGCTCCAAGAAGGCATTGTTGTGATGTATTACCTTCTACATCGAGCAACGTTATGGAAATAGCGATAAGAGAATGCAAGGAAGATGAACTAATTCACATGCAGCATTAGTACAACATATTCCTGAGACGTTCAGCCAATTGCCTGATCTGATCGCGCTCTATTCTGATGAAATTTTGAATTTGAAAAAGCCATTGCTCCGGAGAGAAAAAAAAATGAAGATTTGACAGTAGCAAGATGCCAGCAGTTTGTTCATGGCGGATTTGGTTGTTTTCTGAGGATTTAAGTTCAATGATTAAGGAGAATTTGAAGCCAGATATAATCAGGGGAAGTTTTTTTCTTTGGGAAATTAGTTTTGTATATGTGTTTTACATGGATTACATGTATATCATAGAAATTAGGCATATAAACAAATTAGGAAACATGTAAGAAAACAAAGTTTGTTACTTGTGAGTTAAACCAGAAAAAAGTCTCAATTTTGACTGAAACAATTTCAATAACAAGTTGTTTTCAAAGGACCCTCGGCTCAGATATAGCAAATTAAAGTAAGAACAAAAAGGGAAAATGATAATGAAAAAGACATGACAACTAATAAGGAAAATAGTGTAGAGCATTAAGGAAGGAACAATAACAACAATGAGATGATCGAAACATAATAAACAACAGATTATAACCTTATGTACGAACACGGTATAGTAAACGTTATTTTTAAAGTCTGAGTACATGTGTGGTGTAACCTCGAAATACAAATTAAGTTTGAAATAACATAATAAAATATTGGGAAAAGGGTCTGATATACCCCTCAACTTTGTCATTTAGAGTTGATATATCCCTCGTTATAAAAGTGACTCATATATACCCCTACTTGTAACCAAATGGCTCACATATACCCTTTTCCTCTAACGGAAATGAAAAAAAAAATAATTTTAATCTAAATTTTTATTTTTTTTTATAAAAATATAATCCCATATGAGTAAATTTAATCCTCGTCAAACATATTTTTTCTGATTTTTTTTTGTTTCAATGACTAATTTATAATTATTATTTTGATAATCAAATTTATTTTATGTTTCACTAATATTCTTGTAAAACTTATTGTAGATGACCAAATTTTTTCTTCGAATACGAAATTAAATTACAATATACACACAAAAAATAGTTTATTTTTTTTTATTTAAACTAAGGAATGAAAGAAAAAAAACAAAATAAGAATAAGAAACTCAAATAATTATAATAAAAGAAGTCAAAAAATAATTTTTGTATGAAAAAAATTAAAATATACCTTGAACTTTGATAGAAGAATCATATATACCCCTAAATAATTTTTTTTTAAAAATAGAAGTAACAAATATAAATTTAAAACTAATTTTTTAACTTCCGTTAAATGAAGGGTATATGTGAGCCATTTTGTAACGGCAGGGGTATATGTGAGCCGTTTGTATAACGATAAGGGCATATATGAGCCACTTTTATAACGAGGGGTATATCAGCTCTAAATGACAAAGTTGAGGAGTACATCAGACCCTTTTATTTAGTATGTTTTTACAAGTATAAGCAAATAAAATAATCAGTTTCCAAATATGTTTTGATAAATAATTTATAACAACTCAGGTAGAAAATACCAACTATTTATAGTTTAACATCCAAGTATACATTTGACCATTTATCTCCTAGCTGTATCATTCTCTTAAAATTTGATGAAATTTGAGAGGAAAAGTGTGTATGTGGGGAGGGAATACCATATGAATTTATAACTTTTGAGTACCCTCATTAGTTAGTGTTAATTATAATTAACTACATCACAATTTACTTATTATTTTTTGTGACTTGTAACACTTTTTATACCTTTCTAATATTATTTTTCAAAAATTTTAAAAATTATATATTAGAAAAAAATTGACTTTCGAAAGTTCAATTGTGTTGTATAAATTATGATGTAAGAAAATAGCAAGGATAGAGGTGGAACGTGCATCCAGTTATATGACAGGGTCCAAAATTATTCTCTTTACAATATTTTTAAATCATAGTGGTGGCTTATAAATTGTATATGATTAATTAGAATCACCTCCTCTATGATTTAGGAATAAGTCTTCTCTTTAGGCAATGCTTTCCATGTCTCCTTGTTTCTTTGTCAACAAACAAATATCAACTATACAAATCGACCATATAAACTTAATTAATACGTAAAACTATTGGTTCCTTAATTTAATTTATTACTAAAGGTCATATATTTCGAAGAAGGGTCACAATTTCTTTATTATATCATCAGTGTAGTTTAACATGTTACTTAATAATAAATAATCGATCAATGTTTATCGAAATGAAATTACCTTTTATTGCATAAAACTTAAACTCTTTGAAGAAGGACGTTAGATGAATGAATTGTTGTATAATGCTCCACCATTTTGCCATGTTCTTGTGTTAATATTTGGACTTCAAAAAGAGTAGCATGCAAGTAAAACTTAAATTTTTAAAAAATTAAAACTGACAGGGGACTTTTTTTATGGAACAAGCTGTCAGTGCCTGTTGAAATTAAAATAATACCTTCTCCTTATTCAACGTGTTTTGTATAGTTGCATTAAATAGCTAAGATCCTGCAAGACCCAAGATATACAAAATTAGCTAATTTGGCAGCAGTAATACAGCCAAATTAGCTAATTCTTTGTTGATTGAAGAAGTTATGGCAATGCTAAGAATGTTGATGAGCTTGGCTGCTATAACCATGCTGCTTGGTTCAGCCATGGCAACAAATTACACAGTGGGAAGTCCTAATGGTGGATGGGACCAATCTACTGATGTTCAAGCATGGGCTGCATCGAAAACTTTCTTCGTCGGAGATAATCTGAGTAAGCCATGTAAAAGATAGACTATCTTTTTAGAACTTGTTGGCATCCATCCATCTAATGCCTTGTTTTGTGTTTTTCTTGACAGTTTTTTCATATTCTCTGAGCCATTCTGTGCTAGAAGTCACAAAGGCTGGTTTTGAGACCTGCCAGATTACAGCTCCTATTGCAATTTATACTGGAGGGATGACAGTAATCACTCTAGCTTCTGTAGGCAAGAAATACTTTATATGTGGAACTGGTGGACATTGTAATGTAGGAGGAATGAAACTCGAAATCAACACTCTTCCCAAGGCTACCCCACCCCCACCTCCACCAGCCAAACCGGTTACTCCACCAACACCAACCCCAAAAGCTCCACCACCGTCAACTCCACCACCATCAACTCCCAAAACTCCACCACCAACTCCCATGACTAAACCCCCAGTTGCTTCCCCTCCCTCTTTATCGCCATCTCCCAAGTCTTCATCAGCACCCTCACCCAGAAACATACATAAAATTTCCCCTGCAATGTCACCTTCCAAGTCCTCCCATGCTCACAGCCCAGCCATGCCTCCTACTGCCGTTCCAACATCCCCTTCTGTTGAAGCCCCCGGATTGCCACCTTCTGCTGAGGCCCCAGGATTGCCACCTTCTGCTGAGGGCCCTGATGCTTCTGCACCTGCCACATCTTCCCCATCTTCGGCTGATAAAATCAGTGTCGTTGCTGGTTCTACTGTGGGTTTTGGCTTTGTTGTTATGATGATGTTCCTTCTGTAAGCCTTCAAACAATATTTTGAAGATGTTGTCATTTTTTCGTTTTATGTTTCATTTAATTCTATTTTGTACCTGATTTTCCTCAGTCCTGGTTGTTTCTTCAACATTCCATCTTATCAATGTGCAAATTATTGACGGAGATATAATGGAAAACATCGAGATTTTCTACCCTAAATCATGAATACTTTCTTGATTCAGTAGAATCAGTAGAGGCAATAAATATGGAGTCCTACACAGCCTATGCTGATGTCTAACAAAAGGTTCAAAGAAAATTAACTGTTGAAATTTCCTCAACACATTGCTTGTAACAGCGCAAATACTCTGAAAATAGGTGCTACACCGAGTTTAGAAGCCCTAGATGTGAATTTCGGAAGCACATAGATCGAAAAGAGGTTGACCTCTTTCCGGGTAAGTATAACAGAGCAAACAAAGTATAATTCAGTACAAGCACCAGGGTATCAAGAAAACACGGATATAGTTAATCCTAGTGCAGGGAAAAGAATTCTGGTAGTGAGTGCAGAAAGTAACCAAAATGGCCTCTCAAACAAAATAAGTGAAGTCTTCAGAGTCAATCCAGAGGAGAATATACTACTGAGTGCAGAAGCATGCTTAGCTAAAACAGGGTATAATGTGCATACAACCAAGTTTAATTATTTCAGAAGGAATCCCATCTAGGGAATCATAATACATAATTGTTTTTCGGGTGAGTATACACCCGCCATATACATGATTAAGCAAACCATCAAGACTGACACATACATAAAAGCTAGACATACAAATACAACCAGCAAATTGTCTCAGTTGTTTGTCACTTTTAGCACTCACAGGAGCAACAAAAAGAGCAAAGCTCCAGTAGCAAGTCACCTGGCAAATCCAGCTTAAGCAACTGGAGGACGGAGCACATGATCTTGAGATGTGTCAACAACAGCAGGTTGCATGAATTGCCACATCGCAACACTGGGATAACCAATGAAAGGCATCAATTTGTTGCCTGCAGCAACTTGTCCTTGTGCAGTAAATGCAGCTCCCATGGCAGAAGGATGGGAGAGAAATCCTGCTTTAGAAGCTAAGCTTTTAACCTGCTGCTCCAAATTATCCTTTTCTTCCTTTAGCCTTTGCTTTTCATCTCGGAGCTCATTCTTCTCTGCCTGAATAGACATAGGTTTTTCTTTTATAAGTGCCTCAACAGAGAGCCAAAGAAAACTAGCACAGATGGAAGATCAGAGAGTACAGCTGACATTCAGTGGCACTAGAATTAAAACTACACCTTAAGTTCTTTTATCTTCTCTTGCAGCTCCTCATTTGACTCCTTCAGCTTCTGGGTTTCAGTTCGCAGCTCAATCAGCATCCTTTGAGCATCACTTAGAATTGCAACTTTCTCAGTTTTTGGTGGCCTTCCAGGATCAAGGACAGAGCTCAATGCGAGGAACCTATATGATGTCAGATTTGGATGTGAGAATTCATAAGAAAGTGAATTTGTCAAAAGAAAGAGATCTAGAAGGAGAGATCATGCCTCTCATTCAGTCTGTCCCTCCGCAATTTCTCTCTGCATGCCTTAGATCTCGGAGAGCTGCAACATTCACTTTTTAACCTGTACGTACAGTTAAGTAGATATACAAGAAAGAAATGAATGATACCAGTTCAAACAGCATTGTTCTTTGTTTAGAAAATGCTATCTGAAACAACCAGTTTTAATAAAGAAACTTTCTTTTTCATTTTCTTGTTTCTTGGGGATGCAGGGGAGTGCTATTAGCAACTCACTTTAATGGCCAACCTTTTGAAGGATATTTTCATTGGAACTAATGACACTGGACAAGGATATAGACAAGGATGGCTAGCAATGGTATGATCATGACCCATAGGAATCCTATGAGAAATTTATGTGATACACAACTCTAAAATAAAGAAAATTTTGTTCAGGTTCAACATTGTGAAAGTGAATTTCATTATTTCTCATTTGATGATCTACATAGATATAGAAGAACAAGAATCACATGTACAGTCATCCTAAAGTTGCTAAAAACTATCTGTTTACTTTGAGCCCATAATGAAAGGAATTTTACTCTGGAAACTAAATAAGCTGTGTCCATCTTAGAATCGCCAACAGAATGAGACAATTGAAAAAAGGTGTGATGTAAGAATACTAATAGATAGGATGCAGTATATTGAAGCTAAATTTTCATAACTGACTATTGGAAAGGCTGCATATTAATTGAAGATATCTACAAAGCTCTATCAAATGTTGAGATTTCCTTTTAGCAATTAGATAGATTGGATTGTCAAACCTGAAACAGAGATTTCCACATAGACAGTTCAAATTTGAGATGATAGTCCTTCAAATGGAAATTATCACTTATAATAGTAAAACTCTTATACAGACTTGAAACAAGAAAACACCAATCCACACCAGATTGGTACTCTAAATGGGTTCTCCATAAAATAGGAAACAGAATGTAAAATTTTTCGATATGTCACATTATCTGATATTCATGCCTGAGTTCAGTAGGATGATTAGCAAGAGAACCGGGCATGAAAGATACTGCATAGAAACCCTATTTTGTAATTATTAGTATTGAGATCATTAATAAATTATCTTACTCTCAGCAACAAGAATAAACAATAGCTTTTTCGTAAAAAAGGAAAAGAGAAGAAGTATAAAGAAACTAGGCAGCTGTTTTGTCTGATATATCAGGATATCATTGTGCTGACAAATTTACTAGACTACAAGTCTACAACCAAGAATCTCGCAAGGAAAATAGGTTTCTTGAGTAATCAACGAACTTCTCCTCAGTGATAGACAAACATAAAACTGAAAGGAGTGATTGGGAGGAAGAGCCTGTATGAGCTTTTGCTCAAATGGCCGGTCTCAAACCCATATAAAGGAGGAGAGTTGTGGTGTGCAGTGTTATCAAAAGCAAAAAGAGCAAAAAAGCTCTAAGATCAGTTGGGGGTTTTAAACACAAAGCGCAAATAAAGCGTGGACTTCAATTATTCTAAAACCAAGAGTTAAAGACAAGGTTGTAGAGGGAAAGTGTGGTGAGGATTGAGTTATCTCATTAAGTCTTGCATGTGAAATCAAACAATGAATATCATTACCACCTATTCTCCCTAAATAGGACTAGATGTGGAAACAAAAACTAAATATTTGGAAGATATGGGCACCTTGGTTCAAGGTATTCCAGACGACCAACAGATTTTTATTTGTGGAGATCTAAATGGTCATGTAGGTAAAGATAACGACAGTTTTGACCCAATACATGGGGGATATGGTTATATTAGGAATAATGGAGGAAAGGCTATTCAAGACTTCATTTTAGCCTGTGACATAGTTGTAGGATACACATATTTTGAAAGAAAAATTCTTAAATGAGTACATTTAAGAGTGGACAACCATAGCCAAATAGGTTTTCTCCTTACTAGAACATAGGATATATAAACAGATCCAGATCTCTAAAACAAGAAGAATGTAATAAAAAGAGTTCATCAAACCTATCAAACCATGATATAAAAGAAATGGATAATTTATTTACCGCTTTCGTGAGCTTGCCTCCTTGCTAACTTCTGAATCCGCAAATGTGTAATCTGTTTCAGTACTGAAAGAGATAGATGACCATCAGAATATGGATATGGTAAAAGCAAAGCACCAGCTTCAGTAAAGTGTTGATGTCCCACTACTTTGCATCATCCTTTCGAGACATTAAACATGTACGCACCCATAAGATTAGACATTTGTCTTTCATAGTTATTACTAACAATAACCTTGGTGGAAAAGCTGATAGATATAAATCCTACTAAACATATTTACCGAACATAATTTCAGTCTTTCTATATCTTAAAGTAATGTAATCTAGAGAGGAATCTATAACCTCAACACAAAGTGATAGGCACTTTTTCCTTATGCTCGAAAGGAACAACTTTTCAAACTACAGACTGGCTGAAGTGACAATTCCTTGTTGAAGCTACCTCCTACTCTATGATAAGATTATTTGAAACTAGGTGTCAAATTTACCACAACCTTCCGCCTTCCCCTTCATCTCGATTTCAATGAATTTAATATACAAAGCTCACATGTTTTAAGTCAAAAGAGAAGTTGTAATCCTAACATAAAACTTTCTTTATTGTTCTTTAAAATTCAACAACAACAACAATCTCAGTGCAATCCCACAAGTGGAGTATGTAGAGAGTAGTGTGTAGGCAGACCTTACCCTACCTTTGTGGAGGTAGAGAGATTGTTTCCACTAGATCCTCAGTTCAAATAAAGGAAAGGAAAGCAATTCAAAGCAATACTAATACTAGTGCTATGAAAGGAGAAGCACATACTATGCTCCAAACTACCACCAAGTCTATCCCTCCGTAAGTAAGACAACACTCAACTACCAATAACCCATCTACCACTATCCATGACCTCCATATCCCTATCTAAGGTCATCCCCTCGTAATCTAAAGATGCATCAAGTCTTGTGTAATCACCTCTCCAAATATTTCTTCAGCCTCCCTTTACTTCTCCTTCAACTCAAGTCACTGTCTCTCCTTTTCACGTGTTCAAACCATATAAGCCTCATTCGAAAAGAAAAAAAATGACCATGAGAGTAATTGTACAACAAATTGACAAGAATTAAAAAAGGGCGGAAGAGCAGACTCACATGAGATTAGAAGAAGCATAGATCGTTTGAGCAGGCCAGCTGAAATCAATAGTAGCCGGAGACTGAAACTCAGCGACGGTAACAGATGCAGCAGAAGTAATATCCGTCATCAACTCATAATCAAATAACCAATTAGGATTCCCACTAGAATCGACCTCCATGACCTAATTCCCTTCTTCAAATTTCCCCCTTCCCTTTTGCTCTGCACACTACAAAACCACAAGTATAAGCAATCATCTACTACAGTAGCAGTTGAAATAGCAACATCATATATATATATAACAAAAAAACAAAGTATTTTTTTTGTGTGGATATGGATGGAGGAGAACTGACGGCAGCATCAATGGAAGAATTAACAAAGTTGTATTTCGTCATTACTGCATTTTCTAACTCAAAAAGTAAACGCTGTTTTGGCTGGACTAGGAAGAGCAGCATGATTTGTGCTACTTTTCACTAGACATGTAGCTATCGTTCATCAATCATCGTTTTCATTGCTATTATACTATTTGTTGCTGAGAAGGAAACTGCAACTAGAGTGGAACAACTACTGTAACTTTCTATTTGGAGCTTTCTCCTCCAACTACTTGTTTTAGTATGGGCATAATAAAATTTGAAATAATTCTTCCGTTTCAATTTATATGACATTTTTTAAAATTTAAAATTACATAAGTAACATTAAATAAATGGATATATATGTTCTATATAATATTTTATATGTTATTTTTTGTTTTACGTGTATTGTGTTATATAGAACTCGTGTGTTTATGTATTATGTCTTTAAAATTTAAATAAATGCTACTTTTGTAGTTTTTGAATATATATACATTTTAATTTTAAAAAAATTAGTAAAAGATTACATGTCCAAATTTATGATCAAATTTAAATTTATTGACTCTCGAAATCTACTTGATAAATTGAGACAGAGAACATAATAGATACTCCGCTAATTTCATATTAATTTAATTTGTGAGGCAATGCACACTTATTAAAAAATTTATTCAATAATATTATTTAAATCATATTTTTCACTATCAGCCTTTGTGAAACTATAATATAACTTTGTAATTAGTGTAATTTATCTCTTAGAAAATATTAACCTTCATTAAAGGAAATGATAAATATAAAAAAATAATCAAACATTAAACTTTAAACAATTTAATTATTTTGAACAATTAAAAAAAATATTAAAAATCAATTAATATTGAACAAAGAGAGTCATATTATTAAAATTTGATCAAAACACTTTGATTTTGAGTGTACCTAGACACCTTAACTTGTCTTTATTATACAAGGGTCGACTCGTCTGTCAGAACACACCCCTTCGTTGAAAAATACATTTTATCTCTCTATATATAAAGATCAAATTTTGATCTCGTCCTTATTCAAGAATTGTCAGGAGACACTCCTTCGTTGAAAAACACATTTTCTCTATGTATATAAAGATCAAATTTTGATCTATATATATATATAAAAACCAAATAAACTGCATATAATTTTTAGTATTATTTGATTCAATTTTTAGTGTTTTATGAACCCTAGGCATCATGCTCTTTCTTTTTTGAAAAAAAAATCTTTTTTTTTTTTAAGGGAAAATGTACAAGTACCTGCTCAATTTATGTCCGAAATTTTAAAGAAACACTTATACTATACTAAGGTTTTATTACCCTCTGAATTTATTTTATAAGTAATTTTCTACCCCTTTTCGGCCTACGTGGCATTAGCTTGAAAAAAAAGTCAACCTACGTTGGGTCCACAAGATAGTGACACGTAGGTAGAAAATTATTAATAAAATAAGTTCAGGGGGTAATAGAACCTTAGTATAGTATAAATGTGTCTCTGAGTTTTCGGGCATAGGTTGAGGGGGTAGTTGTGCATTATCCCAAAATAATCTCATATTATTTTTCTCAGAAGGAATTACCCATTATTTGGGACCTTATAAATAAATATGTTTCTTTTTAATGTTTCTACGAAGTGTAACATAGAATTAAATTCTATTTGTTGCCATATTATATAGAATAGTAAAAATTACTTAAGAGCAATCCTTTAGACTTAATTAGGGAAAATGCACAAGTAAAGATGACAATGGGGCGGGGTGGGGCGGTTACGGGGCAAATTCGTTTAAACTCACTAAGATCTCAACCAGTTCTGCTTCGCCCCACATAACATATTTTGTTGTTACTCTTTTCTTTTCTTTTAATCTCATATTATTTTTCTCAGAAGGAATTACCCATCATTTGAGACCTTATTAAATATGTTTCTTCTTAATGTTTCTGCAACGTGTAACATAGAATTAAATTCTATTTGTTGTTATGTTATATAGAATAGAGGAAAATTACTTAAAAGCAATCCTTTAGACTTAATTAGGAAAATGCATAAGTATGGATGACAATGAGGCGGGGCAGGGCGGGGCGGTTGCGAGGCAAATTCGTTTAAACTAGCTAAGATCTCAACCAGTTCTGCTTCCCCCCACATAACATATTTTGTTGTTACTCTTTTCTTTTCTTTTAATCTCATAGTATTTTTCTCAGAAGGTATTACCCATCATTTGGGACCTTATAAATAAATATGTTTCTTCTTAATGTTTCTAGAACGTGTAACATATAATTAAATTCTATTTATTGCTATATTATATAGAATGGAGGAAAATTACTTAAAAGCAATCCTTTAGACTTAATTAGGAAAATGCACAAGTAGGGATAGCAATGGGGCGGAGCAGGGCGGTTGGGGGGCAAAATCGTTTGAACTCGCTAAGATCTCAACCAGTTCTGCTTCGCCCCACATAACATATTTTATTGTTACTCTTTTCTTTCTTTCTTTTCGTTTAATCTCATATTATTTTTCTTAGAATGAATTACCTAGCATTTGGGACCTTATAAATAAATATGTCTCTTCTTAATGTTTCTACAACATGTAACATAGAATTAAATTATATTTGTTGTCATATTATATAGAATAGACAAAATTACTTAAAAGCAATCCTTTAGACTTAATTAGGGAAAATGCACAAGTAGAGTGACAATTGGGCGGGGCGGGGCGGTTGCGGAGCAAATTTGTTTAAACTCTCTAAGATCTCAACCAGTTCTGCTTCGCCCCACATAACATATTTTGTTGTTACTCATTTCTTTTCTTTTAATCTCATAGTATTTTTCTCAGAAAGAATTACCCATCATTTGAGACCTTATAAATAAATATGTTTCTTCTTAATGTTTTTGCAATGTGTAGCATAGAATTAAATCCTATTTGTTGCTATGTTATATAGAATAGAGGAAAATTACTTAAAAGCAATCTTTTAGACTTAATTAGGAAAATGCATAAGTAGGGATGACAATGAGGTGGGGCAGGCTGGACGGTTGCGAGACAAATTCATTTTAAACTCGCAAAGTTCTCAACCAGTTCTGCTTCGCCCCACATGACATATTTTGTTGTTACTCTTTTCTTTTCTTTAAATCTCATAGTATCTTTCTCAGAAGGAATTACCCAGTATTTGGAACCTTATAAATAAATATGTTTCTTCTTAATGTTTCTACAACGTGTAACATAGAATTAAATTTTATTTGTTGCTATATTATATAGAATAAAGGAAAATTACTTAAAAGCAATCTTTTAGACTTAATTAGGAAAATGCACAAGTAGAGATGACAATGGGGCGGGGCGGGGCGAATGCGGGGCAAAATCGTTTAAACTCGCTAAGATTTCAACCAGTTCTGCTTCGCCCCACATAACATATTTTTGTTGTCACTCTTTTCTTTTCGTTTAATCTCATATTATTTTTCTTAGAAGGAATTACCCAGCATTTGAGACCTTATAAATAAATATGTTTCTTCTTAATGTTTCTGCAACGTGTAACATAGAATTAAATTCTATTTGTTGCTATATTATATAGAATAGAGGAAAATTACTTAAAAGCAATCCTTTAGACCTAATTAGGAAAAATGAACAAGTAGGGACGACAATGGGGTGGGGTGGGGTGTTTGCTGGGCAAATTCGTTTAAATTCGCTAAGATCTCAACCAAGTCTGCTTCGTCCCACATAACATATTTTCATTTTTCATGTAAGTTGTGATGCAAAAAAATATAGATCTATCAACTTTTTTACACAATTTTATTTTTCATGTAAGTTGTTAAGAAAAAAAATAATTTTCAAAAAATATTATTCTCTAATGGAAAATTTTGTGGGAGAGAGACGATTCGAAGAAAAAAAAGTAAGTATTCAATGAATGTTGAAAAATATAACAACCATTGAAGACTGAAAAATCGAGAAAAAAAAGAAGCTAGTAAAAATTGAAAATGATGAAAATCAAGAAAGAAGAATTGGGGGGGGGGGGGGGGGGAGGCTTGAAGAGAAGGGGTTGATAACATGTGACAATTTTGATTTAAAATATATTTTTAATTAATTGATTAGTGTAATGAGTTTAAGAAAACAAAAAATGTGAATAAGCAAAAAAATTCAAAATTAATGGCATGGTTAGTGGCGTAGCTAGAAATTTTACTGAGGGTGTTCAAAAATTGCATCAATTAATAAAAATGACGAATGGTTGTACTGAATTTTTTTAAATCAAATTACGTAATATTAGTAATTAAATTTCTTAATGAACAAATGTACATAAATATTTAAAGTTAAACTACATAATATTTAGTTTTAATGTGTATTTTAGTTCAATATGACGTGATAGCACGAAAGAAAAAAAAAAGAAAAAAGAGAAAATTCAACTTAGATAGACATCATTTTTATGCTTCAAGTAACAAGGATAGTAACAACGAGACATATGTAAAATAAAGATTATAGTCAAACAACTTTTTTTTAAAAAAAATCTATATAGACTTTTTGCGTTTTGTTATTTTATATAATATTTGAAGGTTGTTTACTAACTTTAATTAATTCAAAAACTAAAGTTTATTTAAATTCTAATTAAAAAAAAGTCAAAGTCAAATCAATTAAAATTCTTACGGCTAAATTTGTAATTTGTTTTCTTAAATTGTATGTAATTAAGGATTATTTTATCAAATAATATAAAATTTGTATTATTTCTAAAAATAGATTTATTGACTATTATTTAGATTTAGAAAATAATTAAAATAACTCTTTTTTAAATATAAAAAGTAGCATAAAAGAGAAAAAGTTGTTGGTGAGAATCGAACTTGCGACCTTTTGTTTTCTTAAATTTTATCTAATTAAGAATTATTTTATCAAAATAATATTAATTTTGTATTACACACTATCTCCCCAGGAACCACTGGGCTACATATACTTTATGTGTTCATGGGTGTCCAAAAGTATTAAATAGTTATTTGGGGTATCATTTTACTTGTATACACGATATACTTTTTCGATGAAGGGTCTCCGATTGGATACCCTGACTCCACTGCAGCTTCGCCCCTGGGCGTGATGCTTACATGATGGTGACTTGGTGCTTAAATGGCTATAATGTGACAAATGATAGTGGTATTCTACTCTAAGGGTTGTATTTAATACTGATAGAATGTGATAGAATCGTTAATTCGTTTTGATGATAGACAAAAAGCGCAAAGAACGGTAGAAAATGAACGCAGCGAAAGAAGTCAAGCTAGAGTCCAAGATCA